TTAGCCGAAGGGTCCACCGAGAGGCGGTGGGTGATGACCCTTCGGCTGATCCCCGGCATGTCCTCCGGCCCCCATGCAAAAGCAATGGAGTAGGCGCGGAGGGCGCTGATGATGCCGGTCTTCAAGCCTTCGGGGAGCTGGGCTCCAATCTTCACGACTCTCTCCGGCTTGGCCGGATCGAGCGCGAAGTCTTCTACGTCCTCGGCCAGTTCAGGCCTCGGCCTCTTCTCCTCCTCTTCAATAGCCCCGGTGATGGTGTCAATACGGAACTCGGTTTTGCTAACCTTCTTTGTCACTTGGAGATAGCAAGTGCGGGCAAGCTTCTGATTTCCCCTCGAGTAGCCGATGCCCCCTTCGGCTGGGAACTTGAGGCAGAGGTGCCTCATGGAGATGATGGCTTCGAGATCCTCGAGGGCTGGTCGGCCGAGGATGATGTTGTGGGCGCAATCAATGTGGTCGACGACGAACTCCACTTCAAGCTTGGCTCTATGGAGCCCGTCGCCGAATAGTACCGGGAGGGTTATGACCCCCTCGGAATCGATGGTATCACCGGTGAAACCGGCAAGGGGGCTCTTGATGGGCCGAAGGGACCCCCCTTTCTAGGTGCAGTTCCCTGAAGGTGCTGAGATACATTACATTGACGGAACTGCCCGTGTCAACGTAAGTTCTGTGGATGATAGTGTCATTGATCTCCGTGCGGATGACGAGGGCATCCCTGTGTGGAGAGGACACCGGGGGGAGATCGGCGTTAGTGAAGGTGATGGGTTCCTCCCTCAGCCGCTTTACCGGGGGCATATAAGTGACTTCCCCCATGTATAGCGATTGAGCCCACTTCTTCCGTTGGCTGGTGGAGTCTCCCCCTGTGTTGCCACCAGTGATCATGAGGATGTGGCGCTTCTTCTCGAGGCCATGGGGGTACTCTTCTTCTTCCTCCTCCAAATTCCCGATCTCCCTCTTCCTGCCGAGGGGGATGGTGTTTGGGTTAACCCAAGCGTTTGCTTTCGCCGGGCGCCCTCGGGGTGGCCCTTGGTAGGGAGGACCCTGTTGCTGAGGGCCTTGGACAAATTGGGACAGATGGCCCGCCTGTATTAACCTCTCGATGGCTGTCTTCAGCTGATGGCAGTCATCGGTCTTGTGCCCTTGATGTCGGTGGAAGCGATAGTAGGGGTAGTTTGGATTGATGGCTTATACCTCCAGGGGTGCGCGAGAATCTCGCTCCACCAGACCCCTCTCCTCAGCGAAGTCGAGGATGACGCTGACGGGGTGCGTTAAAGGTGTCCGAGGATGCTCCAGGAGAACAGGTTGTGCCCAAGCCTTCGGGTTACCCTTGTATCCTCCCCCGGGCTTGGCTTGGCCGTGCCGGGGGCGATCACTGGGGGGCGCTGAACCCTTTGGCTGACTATGAGGAGCCCCCGGCCCCCGGTTGCCTTTATCATCTGGCCGAGGGCGTTGTTGATTGGGGTTGTGATGGCATTTCTCCACCTCCTCGGCCTCGGCGTGGCATTTGATGATGAGGCTCCTAGAGAAGATGCCGGGGCGGAGCACTGTTTGGAGGAGGGCAAGGAGGGTCCCGTCGTCTGCGCCATCAACTTTATCAACCTCCGTTCTCCAAGGCTCCAAGAAGTCCCGAAGGGTCTTCTCTTTCCTTTGCCTCACTGTCAGCAAGTGGGAGAAGTGTTTTCTTGTGCGACGCCTTCCCGCAAATTGTGTCAAGAATCGCTGGGCGAGTTCTTGCCACGAGTCGATGCAGCCCTCGGGCAATCGGTTGAACCATTCGTAAGCCGGCCCCTCTAAGGTGGAGAGGAACCAATGGCACAAATATTCATCCGATGCCCCTACCATCATCATACTGTTTTGGTACCTGCTGTAGTGCTCCTGGGGGTCAGTTTTTCCGTCGTAGGGCTTGATGAGTTGCCCTCAGTATTTTTCCGGGATCCGGGCCGCCAATACCCTTGGGGTAAATGACGTCCAGGTCCGGAGTTGTATGGTGGGTTCCCTGGAGCCCTCGGTTATCTTCTTCTGCATTTCCTCCATCTTGGCCAACATGGCCTCATACTTCAGGTCTGAATGGGGGGCAGAAGTGGTGGTGTGTGCTTTGGTGGCCTCCATCTTGTCAAGCCGGCGCTGGAGGGCCGCAATGATTTCGTCCCGGGGGTCCTTCGGTAGGGCCTCCGCCCCCTGCGAACGGACACAGGCCGAGTGGGACTGATTGATTTGGTGACGAGCGTCGTCGGCGTGGAGGGGTGCCTTAACCTTGTCCGTAGGGGGGCGTCTTTCATTAGCCCTGGAGACGGATCCGCCACTTTTCTGAGGCCTCTGGGGCACCTTCCCCCGAGGCGGTCTTGGACCCCTCGGCGGTCTTGCGCCCATCCGAGTCTTTCGAGGGCGGAGGTCCGGGGCTGTTCCTTGTTTATGTTGTGGCGGTCCCAGGATTGGACTTCCTGGGAGGCCGTGTCTTGGGCCACGACCCCCTCAACGTTCCCAATCCGGAGGACAGGGTTCCCGAGGGGGTGTGGATGAGGGGGAGGCATGATATTCTCCTCGACCTGAGGTTGGAGGGGAACCAAAGTGCCGAAGGCATCCGGATTCTGGGTGAGCTTCTGGATGAAGGCGGAAAACGCCGACTGTACGTCGATAGTGATGACCGGAGGGCTAGCTTGGTTCTCGCTCCGGTCCTTCTTCTTGGCCTCGATGCCGAGGCGGGCATCAGGGGCATTTTGTTGAATCTGATGGCGCAGGTCGACGACCGTCTGATCCAACCTGGCGATGACGCCGCCCCCGGGAGCCCTGTTAGAGGCCTCAGGGACGTCGACTTCGCCGAGGGCCAGGTTCCTGTCCTCAACGTTCTTGGAGTTGGCACGAGTTGTTCTCACCATTTTCGCTAGGTATTTTGTGTTTGGCGAGGGGGAGGGTTTCTTACTTGATTATTCGACCTCTCAACGAGAGCACCAAATGATGGATAGCCTACCCGGGGGTATGTATCCGAAGGGTTACTGCGGGAATTAACTAGAGAGAAGTCAGAGCAAAAGTAAGAGAGAGAGAATGTATTGCTGAAAATGTAGTGGGCGAATTTAGATTGGATTACAAATGGGGAAAAGGGGCGCTATTTATAGTAGTAATAAATGCCAGATAGGGACACATGTCAAGCACCCAATGGCCGAGGGGTCACATCAACTGGTTGTCACTGGCAGTCGCATTAAATGCGGCTGTTGGATGTGACGTCGTACTTGGTACGGTGATTCAGACGCATGTGGGGAGGATATTCTATCGAGAAAGGTGCCCTCGGCTGCAGATGATTGGCCGAGGGCTCTAAGCATTGGGGACCTTCTTAGTGCCGAGGGCTCTAGGTGCCGAGGGCTACTGATTTTCGCCGTTTTCCCCAGTAACTTTGTTTGCTTGAGTTGGCCATCTTGTGAGAATTTGGAGCCTTCGGCCAGGGGGCCGAAGGCACTCCCAGTGTGCTACGTGGGTTGCTCAGTACTTGGGGCGCTGTGTTTTGGGCCTGCTGTGCTTCCTGGGCCTATTGGGCCTCCATTAGAATAGTAGGAGTCTATGGGCCGGTTCCTGGGCCATATACTCCATCAGATTTCTGTTGTTACTTTTTTGCTCGGATTTTAATGGATTTCGATGGATTTCTATATACAAAAACAATCCACCACAATCTTGTAGACTCCCTCGGATTTCAAAGGAAGATTTGATCTAGTCGATGGATTTGGAAATTCGAGGGTTAGCAGTGAGATTGTGTTGTTCTATTATCTGTCATGAAAATCCATCAAAATCTTTTAAAATCCATGAAAGTTGATAGTCATTGAAATCCATAGAATAGTTGAGGATACCTGGATTTTTAAAGACTCCGTAGAAATCCAGATTGAGGATACACAGATTTTGATGGAATTCCAAATTCCATTAAAATCCACCAAAATCTATGTTGGGGACACCCCCTTAAAATCTATCACGGTCATAACCAGGGACACCCCCCTTAAATTCATACAATAATTTTGCTAATGGACTAGGGGTGACAGCGGGTTGAATTTATACCGGGTGAAGGTTTATCCGTCATCCACCCGTCAATTTTTCATAGTCCACCCATCCATCCATCATCCATTAAAATTTACATCCACATCCAACTCATCCATCACGAACGGGTTATCGAGTAGATCAGGTGAGTAACGGGTGAATACAAAAGGTCAAACTTGAAAGACAAAATAAATAAATTATAAACAGAAATCATGACAAAAATTAAGAACTCATTGAAAAATAACTACAAAAACATGAGCAATTATGTATATTACAATCATTAATTCACTGCCGATGATAAAGAAAGAACTAATTGTCAAACAAAATAGATAAAAAATTTCTTCAAGTTATCAATTCTACATTTCTGCATCAACACAAAACTATTTTTGAAGTTCAACGGGATTAGGGTTGGACACCTATTTTAGTCGCTACAATGCTACTTCGTAGTTACATAGTATCTGTTAATATATTAATACTAATTATTATTATTATTATTAATATATTATTAAATAGGTATTATAATATATGTATATATATTTATTTGCGGGTCAGCTGGTGCAGGTGGATGGAGCGGGTGACAGATCCGGTGATGGGTTGGATGAGTGTTCATCCACACCCGATCCAACCCGCCTTTCAATCCATGAATCCACCCGTCATTCATTTTTCATCCATATTTTTTCGGGTTTTTGTCCATATTTTCGATTCGGGTTGACCGGGTATCCGCGGGCGCGGGTGATTGCAAGCCCTATAATGGACATTAGCTATCCAGTATTTCAAGTTTGGTTTAATTCCTTTCAGTTTGAAAGGAGGAGGTGGAGGATACTTACCAAATCATAACAAACTATGTACGGAGTATCTATTTGGTTGGATACACTTGAGTTAAATTTGGATTTGAATTTTTCAAACGGGCAAAAAGGTTTTATTGAATTAATTAATTAGGTTCTTTTTCAAAATTAGCAGAGGAGATTGGAAAAGGTATTGCAAACTAATTGAAATGTGTAGCAAAATGATACTTTACGGATGTAAATAATTTCAAACTTTCAATGGCTAACTATGTATCAATCTACAAGTTTTCGAGTTCTATTTCTTCTCTATATATATTAATGATGCTAATTTGACTATACATCCAAAACAAGATTTTACACTGATACCTATACTTAAAACCCCATCTTGATATCCTAGTAACAAGTAGGTTGAACGTAAACGGAGTGAGCAGATAATACTCTCATATCCATTCAAAGAATGTGCTCTCCACTTGAGAAACATTTCTACTTCTAGTATATCCCATCCATTCAAACAAACAAAAGATGAGAGCATCACCAATCCAAAGTGATGTTTCTTGAAAGGTAGAGGTTGTCAATGTACTCAATGATGGGTTGCAAAGCATTGATGTATCTTTTCATTTCTTGCTCTGCTGAGACATCTGCCACAACATCATAATTGTTAAATGAAACAATACACTTTAATTATTTTCTGTAAAGAATCTAAATATTGTTTCATCCGGTTAATATCATGCATTTTAGATTTTTAGTAATGCTTATTTGGTCGAAAATGGCCTGAATCTGTTAAACTTTCTGAATGGAAAAGCTTTTGGTAAAATCAATTTCAGCCCACTAAGCAAACCAAAATCTGGGCCTAATTCCTTTACTCAAGCAGCCACTACTTGGGGAGCTCTCTTAGTCAAGTTGTCGTTACATGGCTCATACCAGAGACAAACAGAACTCTTTCCAAACTGATGAAGTGACATAACTGATGATAGTTTTAGCATAGTGCGATAAGAATCACAGCCTTTACTTGAATATGTGGTTCTGTCCAAAACTTAAGATAGTCAATTCGGCCACGATTTAGGCAGCGCAGTGCAATGTTATTTATATTGATATTATAGACAAAATTGGACCTGTTGGCCGCAATGATTAACCAAGTTTCAAGCAAGCACTTAAACAAAAATGTGGTAATCTAAGAGTCTGCCTCATACCTTCCAGTTTAATCACCTTCAGAACAACAATTTTTTTGGCTAAAGTGATATTCGTCTGCCCCAAAAAGAGTATATCGAACACGTTTTTTGTCCAAAGAAAAGTACACTTATGTAATTTGCCAAAATTGACAGAAATCGGTCAGCAGATGAGTTAAATAAGAAAAATTTAGTCAAAAAACCAACAAACAAATTCAAAAAGATCGGTATGATTCATGATCACAGTTGTATCTCACCAACATTTAATACTCCTCCGTCCCTTAGAACTTTGCAAACTTTTCATTTTTGGTTGTCCCACTAACTTTGCCACTTCCCTTTTAAATAAATACCTTTTAAATAAATAATTTGTGGTTCTTGTTAATTCTCTCTCCTCTACGCAAAACTCAATCACACAATTTTTACTTAATCATTCTACGTGTCAGTTAACTTTGGCAATGTTATAGGGACAAAGGGAGTAGTACCTTGTCAAAGCATGACTCTTTCTTGGGACAGGTGTAGTAATTTGTTAAACTACAGATAGAATGGCCATATCATAGCTATATATGCTCAGATTTTATCACTCAAACTAACTCATAACACAGTTTGTAAATCCCGCTCTTGAAGTATGCAAACACTGTCAACCACAAAATAGATAGAAAAAAGCTCACCATTTTCATTCAGCCTCTCCAGAAGTTGGTTACGAGTTGGGAGTGCATACATACCAGCACATACAGCAGCCCTGACAGCCCATGTATGATATGGTGCACAAACATTGGCATACGCCATTGAAGCAGCATCTCTCAATGAGTTGTATCTGGATAGAGCAAATTCCCAACAACAACCATTTTAACAAAGGGTGACTAAGGGTCCATTTAGAACTTAGATGAGAAAAATGAGGACTAAAATTGGAAGGAAAAAAAAATTGACGGGAAAATAATTGATATGTTTAAGCTCAACAAATTTAACTTAGGGTACGTTTGGGAGTTTGGGGGGAAAGGGAGGGGAAGGCTTTGGAGGTAAGTTGTTGAAGGGGAAAGGGAGGGGGAAGGTGAGGAAACCCTTCTTATTTGGGAGTAGTAAATTTGGACAAAAGAGAGTTTTAGAATGAGTTATAATTAAAATCGCTTCTAAAATATGATGAATTCAAATAGTTGAACTGATTCATTTTAGATTAAACTTAAATTATCGTTTAGTTAGTTATCCTTCAAAAAAACCATTTTGGAGGAACTTAAAATTGACCTTTTGACGGGTTTTAGAGGGTCACAAAAACCTTCCAAAACCATTCCTCCACATTTTTTAAACTCCCAAAAACAAATAGGAGGGTTATCAATCCTCACATGTCTTCCCCTCCTTCCCAAACACCCTCAAGGTAAAGTAACTTTTTTTGGCATGTGTTTTCCTGTTAACAGGATCCAATCATACCCTAATGAACATGTAATAGGAAAAAATCACATACGCTGAAGACAGAAAGTGAACTTGTGAGAGAATATAGATCACATACTCTGAAGACATAAAGTTCTGAAATATATCTTTGATGAGATGTAAGCCCTGCCTAACTCTGCGTAAATTGCGTGATAAACTCCCTGCCGTTTTGACACTGCCGTTTTTGACATCATAATCAAGTACACTTTCTAACGTTTCATATCTTTTTGATGCATCGGCAAGGCTTTGAACCTGAGAGAGTGGTGACAGTAAATTGATGTCATTAAGTGAACGAGGCCACGGGCATCCGCTCTGGGTGATTAGTGGCGTATTGCGAAAATTCCGACATAAACCACCAATAACTTCCAGTCTTAAAGAAATTCATAATGGTCTGCTACAATTCCGCCAACGGCATCCGCCATTGGGCCACGATGGCCACCATTTGACAACACTGACTTAGCACCAACGTTCCGATTGCAGGGTTTGAATTAAAGGTAATCACTTGGAAGGTTTACACCCACTACTTTACAGTACAGGAAATGTGGAGGGTTAAAAGTGGGTCAATAACTTTAAGCCTTTAATCATACAATAGATGAAAGAAAGTAACCTTTTTTCTCTACAAAAAATATCACAAAAGCTTGATCATTCCGTAACTGTGACTAGACTTGATTTAGGTCAATAATAGTCATTTAAACAGCTTATTATGATTACCGATCAGTCTATTGCTGAACAGAGCAAGCAAAATTACAATTCAAAAGTAAAATGAAATTGAAAGAGGAAACCAAACCTTAGCAACGTATTCAAGCTCGGCGAATTTAAAGGCGATCCCTAAGCACCCAAAAAGGACAGAAACAAGAGAACACGCCTCGCAGAACGGTTTCAACTGAATACGATCATACCCCCTGGTATCCATCTCCGCGAAAAGGCCTTCAAACGCGTCTACCACCGCCGACAACGGCGTCTTGGAGGCGTCGCCGGAGACCACCTCCCCTTCCATGGGAGATCTGGATATCCTCACACCGGATCCCTGGGCAGTCAGCCTACGCAAGAGAGGAAGAGGCGAAGAGCATAGCCTCAATTTCTGTCAACTGCTCCCGACAATAGAAAGATATGGCGAGAAGAATTCGGAAATGAAAAGGAGAGAAGAAGAGCGGAGGGTTACCTGATATAGAGGCGGAGCTATGGACTAATGGAGATGAAGGGTCGGGTTGGGAAGGACAGAGTTTGGTTCGTTAACTAAGTTTGCGTTCTTCCCTCCAAATTTCACTCTATTGCGGAGGAGACGAGGCGAAGAGCTGAAGACTTTATTCCGTCTTTTATTATGCTAACATTGGTCAAACTTCCCTCGTCTTGCTGTATTATTTCATTCATTTTAGTCCATTTTCTTTAATGGATCTGATTTTTAAAACTGTTTCTGCTCCTTCAGGGAGCAGAAGCAGAAACTGAAGTGTTTGGGTGAAAGTGCAGAAGTGATTCTGGTACTCTAATTTACTCCTAGAATCAGTTTTTTTAGAAGCTGGGGGACCAGTTTCTGAAAACTGATTATGATTCTGCTTCTACTTTAAAAAAGAAGCAGAATCAAAATTGGTTCCAAACACCCCCTACGAATGTTTTGAGTTGAAATGATCTGAGACAGGGGGTGTATTGTAAGTGGATTGTGGTGGATATTTTTTAATCCATGGATTTCTAAAAAAGTCCACAGACTTATAAATCCATGGACTTTTAAATTCATTGATTTTTAATTCGCGGACTTTTAAAATGAATGACTTTTATATGAATGACTTCTGTGGATTTCAACAAATCCATATACTTTGACTTTGACTTATTTCAGATCCAATCAAACCAAATTTGAATAGACCAGATGAGGCTTCTAGAATTATAAAATGCACAGCGATCAAACATCCAAATTGAAGTCTATGAAGGCAAATAAAAAATGACAAATATAATAGCCAATGTTCTCTAAAAAATATGACAAATAAAATACTCAAGTATAAGTATTAAACAACATAGAAAAATGTCATCAATGCTCAAAATTGAAACAAATGTCTTGTGCTATTGAACTATGTATCAAAATTATTCATTTTCCGCAACCGCCCACATTTGAGTAACAAGGTTCATTCTCCATTCGTTGGCTTTTGCTCTCCGTTGATCTTGTGTCTTAAAATCATCCCATTCAAAGTTATCCTCATTGTCGCTAGGTGGGTCTTCTTCTGGGTCTGGAGGAAACTATCAGATTGACATTCACGTCGAAGAAAATAATGTACTCCTGCACATGCCAACACTAGTTTTGCTTGTGTTTTATAAGAGAACGAAGGTGCTGTTTTGAAGACTGTGAAGCGTGACTTGAATATTCCAAATATCCGTTCAATCACATTTCTTAAAGAAGCATGACGAAGATTGAATAGCTCAACGGCATTGACAGGGTGATTTCCTTCACCACCAAAGTTCTTAAGATGATACCGAGTACCTCAAAAAGGAGCTAAAAATTGACGCCGATTTGGAAATCCACAATCCCCCAAATAATATTTACCTGAGCATTAAATCATTACACAATTATATTGTACAATGAGTAATTGGATAATCAAAGTTTTGTAAATATGCATTAGTCTATTATGTGGTACGCTAAGTAATCGGTAATCACATATTTATATAAAGTATAAACATGTTAAAGTGTACCTGGCGGCACTTTAAGACCATTTGGCTTTGAAATTGCATCATTTAACACTTTTGAATCATGAGCAGAACCTTCCCAACCGTTAAGCACATATATGAATTGTAAATCAAAGTTGCAAGCAGCTAGTAAATTTTGAGATATAGTCCCATGACATTTTCGATAGCTATTCACTTCTCGTCCAGCTACAGTTGCTGGGATGTGAGTGCCATCTATTGCTCCGATGCAATCCTAACATTAGGAAAAGAAAGTATACCAAAACAATTAATTAAGTGTAAAATTAAACTAATAATCATCAATAAAGTGTTGCATTACTCACCTTAAAGTGAGGATAAAACCTTGTACTCTCTCTCATTACATGTGGTACGGATTCCGGTTTGGCCATAAATTCTGGAGCTATTGTATTTAATGCTTTCAATACTTTGTTAAAGCTTTTGCTAATGGTGAAGTGTGACCGCTTAAATATCATCCTTGGTTGACTATAACGGTTGTTTTGGCCGACGATAAGTAAAAATGTTGCAACCATTTCTTCAACACAAATATATCATGTATCTTCTAGATAGAGGCGTTTTATTTTTTAAGATACAACATAATCTTTGAAAAATGTCAGGATACATTCGGTACACATCTCTAAATGTTCCAGGGTCGTCGACCATTATTTCATCCATATATTTAAGCCCGTTAGCCGTCACAGGTCGGTGAGTCAATGGGCGTCTAATAGGTTCATCATTGATTCTTGAAACGAGATTATATATCATGTAAGTTGCTGCTTCTATTGCGATTAACAATATCTTAAGAGCCTCATAAAACTCAACCTCGTCTTCATCTGCTCCATATAAATCTGTTTCACACATTGCTAATAGAAGGAAAAAAGAACTTAATTTAAAAACTAAAATATGATAAATTGTAAAATAAAATATTCTAAAGGACAATCCATAAAACAAAAACCTAAAGAATAATCCATAAAACAAGTCAAATACACCATATCATGTTACAATCCATATAAAACTAAATCACTCCAACGAACAATAGATAAAGTAAATACTCAAATATGACCTATTTATTATTGGATATCTCTAGTGGAGATTCACCTAATCTAGACGAATGATCCACTGATAACGTTGTTCAGGAGCCATCCTTAAAAAGGAATCCTGCTTTGCTTTCGTATTCAGCAAATCAAGAGCTTTAAAGCAATCCTCGTCTGTTAATCCAGGAGTCTCCTTCATAGAATCCAAAAGATCAGTATCCCTTGATTCCCTCTTCTCCATTAGATAACAAATTTTATCAAAGCTTTGAACAATTTTACCAAATCCACTTGATAAGTTCTCGAGAACTGCATCTTGACTATTACCTCCCTTTACGATGTTATTAGAACCTTCCAAATCAGTCCTACTCCTCTTTCCATGTGCTTTATTTGATGAAGAAGGATTCCCTATATTTGTACGTTGATCTGGATGTCGTGAGTAGAGTGGAGAGGTTTGTTGGGGCGATGACATACTTTCACTTTGCATGAAGGTATTGGTATCTGGGTCAAAATATAGTCCGTCTATGCCACCAATTTCATCCTCTTGTGCTCCCAGTGTTGTAGCCTCTGTAGTTTCACCTAAAGCAATCGAGCCCATTCATGTTGCTGTTCCATTTCCCATCGCGACTCTCAAGTGTTCGTAGTCTGAAAAAGTTTATGTTCGAAGGTGTCCATGTGATGGATTTGACTAATACAGTAAAACGACACAATTGTGATAATGATCATAATCATTTAAGAACTTCTATAAGTGATATGAAGCAAAAAAAGTCAGCTAACCTTCAGATAGTCAGACCACACTTCATCAGCTGCCGTGAATTTCTTTGTGATTGGATCTCATCCAAAGCCAAAATTATGACGCATAAGTTGAGTGTAATTAGAATATTGCTTTTTGAACCATTTTACTCTGCTTTGGTAGTGGTTATAAGCTATTTCAGGACCAAGTTTTTCCTTAAGCATAGGAAAAAGTCTAGTCTCTACCATTTGTTTGCTTATAATGCCATTAATATCACACCATCCAAGTTTGGCACCTTCAACCATAAGTTCAAGCAAAGTGTTGCTTTCTTCTATAGTCCAAGTCTTATAATACTTCCATTTGGAATTGCCTTGTGAATCTCCCATCTATATGATTGTGTCAAACAATAAAAGACCACTACAAACTAAATTTAATAAATGTAAAAAGAGGTAAAAACAGTATGTTTGTTTCAAAGTATTGCATAATATCAAACCTAATAAGCAAACCTAATGATTAGTGTTGTGAGAAAGTTTAAAAAATATCAATTTGAACTAGAAAACTAAAAATACTTTGTATAACATAAGGGATAGGAGATCCAATTCTATGCCCTCTACTTTCAAGCCAAGGAAGGGATAAGTCCGAATCAACGAACTCAAGTTGCGAGCAACTTACTTCTCTTATTAGGCCAAGTTGTAAGTGACTATTTGAATCACTAGTTTTCTGTATGATGGGTACTCATAATCGAAAAAGAAATCAGCAATACAGGAAATTCAATTCGAATCCCTGGAAATCGCACTATAGGAAATTCAATTCCAATCCGGCCAGGAAATCAAAACTATAGGAAATTCAATTTGAATCAGCACTATAATCAGCCCAGGAATTCTCAAAGGTTGCTGACTCTGATAGTGGGCATAGATTAGAAAAGACAATTCATATATGTAACTCTTTTTCGGCTGAGAGTAGCGGAACCTCCGCCCGAAGTGAGATTAATCGGAATACATACAAGCGGAAGACAGAGAAACATACACACATAAATAGATGGGTAATCATCCATATCGCAGCATAAACAGATGGAAGAAATTAGGAGACGGGGAAGAATGGAAACTTGGAAGAAATTGGCTGCTTTGGTTGAGAGAAGAAAAAAAAAGCCGCTAGCAAGTCTGCGGAAATCTTGAAGGAGATGATAAGAAAAAAACGGAGAGAGTATTTATATTAGGGGTTTGAAAATCCACGGATATGAATGATTATCCAATTCCATGGGCTTCATAATTTTTTTAATACACCTAAACTTTTATTCATTTTTAAAAGTTTGTATTGAATACGCCTAAACTTTGACAAATTTGTATTCATTTTTTAAAAAAAAATCCTATTTGAATACACGCAGACTTTTATTGACTTTTAAAAATCAATATTCAATACACCCAGACTTTGGAATTCCATAGACTTCTAAAATTCTACCACTAATTCTAGATACAATACACCCCCGTAAAGTAGATTATATTAGACTTGATTAAACTAAATCATATTACCTCTGTCATGTTGTAGGGAGAATTGTTTGTAGAGTTTCTGTTGAGGTTTATTCATTCGATCCAAAAGTCAAAATCTTCCCTTGGATTAAGTGAATAATATAGTGCAAGCAAACAAGGAAATGACAAGTGCAAACAATAGTAAGTGAGCCGTATCTTATTCAATAGAAATAAGGATTAATTTGCATACAACACACTTCACTACAAGTCTCGAGGTTGTTCGTCTATCTTAGTAAGAAGAGCTAGAGATAATTGCTATTGCTAGAAGGTATTAATTGCTAACTCTTTGCAATAAAAAAAATGCTACTATTTATACTACCAAGAGGTAGGTAATATTGATGAGGTGGAAGACTGTGAGTGGCTA